GATGTGTCTATTTATTTATACTTTATATTAATAAATGATATAAAATATCATTAACGAGTAACTAAAATTATTTGGACTATACAACAGGCAATTTTAATGCTAATAACACATATACGTTAAAAACAATTTTAAATTAAGATAATAAATACTAATATTATAATTTATTGTTGGAAGACAACTCATATTCTTGTAATAATGTTTTTTTCAGTATGAAATTGTATCATATTTTATTTAAAATTAAAACAATCGAATTAAATATTAACGGATCCTTAATTTTCTGGGTTATATAATTTTAAAAATTACTCAAATTGCATAATACGTCCATATGATTAATACAACCATTAATAATAAGTAATATTTTATTTAGAATGGAAACTTTATAGTTTATTTATCCAGTTGAAACGTACCACAATAAAAATATAATGGTAATGTTCCGTTAAATATCAAATAAACTGACATATATGATAATATTTTAAACAAATTTTAATTTTATTAGCAGGTGTGTGCTTCTTGTTCCACTGGAAAAATAATTTTACACTCTTTTAATACGTTTTAGTTCCTATATAATATTATGTAATAAATATTCATTTTAAATAACTCACATAATATAAAGCTTTTTGATATAGATTTAATAAGTTAATCATGAATTAATTTAAATATTCAATAAAACCTTGAAAGAAATCTAAAATTATACTTAATTTGATGATTTAATCAAATAATTCAAATAGAATTCGTTTAACGTGTAAAAAAAAAAATATAAACAGAAGTTAAAATCCAAGTTCATAAGCTCTATATTCATTATAAATTATTCATATATTTTGAGCAGTGAATATAATTATTATTATTATTATTATTATTATTCATATATTTTGACAACTAAAAATAAATATAGAAATTATGAGATATCAAAATATAATATATTGATCGAACAGCTGATTGAAAAAAACAATATTTCTAAATACCCAACTTTTGAAAAATTAAAAAAAACTATTTACCTCCTTAATTTTTATTTGAATAAAAATTTTGCTTTTACAGAATATTTAGCTAAATTAACTTACTTTATTTTGAAATATTATCCTTTATGCCTTCAGAATATGAATTTTTATTTTAGCTAAATAAAGGTTATATTAGCTTATTTTTCATATTTTTGAATATTATCTCTTTTCCACTCACCTATTCAATTTAACTTGACATTGATAAGATACTGTATTGATAGAGAACATTAAATTAAATTTAGATATTAATATATTAATATTTATTAAGTGACTAGTAAACTTCTTATAATTTTATGATTAATTAATAATAACTATTAAGAATTCAACATAATATTATATTATTTATTATGTTTATTTAATGTACATCAAATTATGATAATACATTTTAAAAATGTCAACTACCTTGAACACATCGAAATTCGCAAAATCTTCAATAACACGCAATTATATCAGACTTTTAAGAGAACCCAGGAGCAATCTTTACATTTTTTCACACTATAAATATTTAAAGTTTAAGCTTAAGATTGTAAAAATTGTTGTTCTGTAAAAATACACTGTAAATATTGTTAATATATTTTTAGCTAAAAGTTAATTGTAGACTAAAAACCACTATTATTGAATCTTTTTACCAGAGCTTTTACCTTATAGCATATATATATATATATAAAAATAGTTTCAAATAATAACAATTATTATTGTATAGGAATAGGATATAATGCATGTGATAACTAATAACATAATATCTACATTTATTAAAAAGTAAAATTTATACTACCTATATGATAGAATTTAATGGATTTTTCTATTTTTCTAAATCACAGGAATTATTATATTGGACAGACTAAATCATAGAGTACCTGGCCTAGGTCATAATATTATATAGTATCACCTATGAATTTGACATTTAAATACAATATAAGATTATTATACTTAACATATTATAATGGATTACTCTTATACTCTATATACTTTGAATATCTCTATTCATTATTAATTTTTTTTTAACTAGCAACTCAAAATGTTATAAACGTCCTACAGTTTATGAACGTTAGAAACCGATAAGCTTCATTCATAATCGTTTTTTGAATACAATATAATGTATCTATTATTGATTTAAAATTTATAGTAGATACTTACCTAATAAATAAAATAAACAATTATCAAGCATCAATATATGAGCGAAGTGAGGTGAGTGACCACCACGTAATTGACGTATTGTGTCGAGCTTTATAAATAATTTATTTAATACATTAAAATTATTAAGAGTGTTTTTTTTACTGATTTAATTTTTTTTTTTTTAACTTAATTTATTATTTATACTATTTCTTTAAATTTGACCCTCATATTTTACCTTGACAATATTTTTTTTTTCGATAATTCATTCTTCCTAAAAAATTAATCTAATAAGTATTTTAATAACTACAGATATGAATATATTATGATTATTTATAATTTTATTTTATTTTTCACCAAAATTATGAATTTACTTTTAAAAAAAAAATAAAGAATTTAAAAATTAGTATATTTTTTTAAATTATAGGAAGTTGTCAATTAATTATAATAAAACAATGTTTATATACTTATACTTTATTATAAATCATATAAAAGAAAATGTTCAAGATTTAACTATACACTTTTATGATAGGAATAATTTGTGCAATGGTAAGAATGTAAAAATGTATCTAAAGTCCCAAGTATAAATTATTTGGAATTAACATGTGAGATGGAATTTGCATGTGAATAACTTAGTAATGCTCTTCTTCTTTTGAGTTTTAGCTTTCATAAGTTACGCAAAATTGTACCGATGCAAGTAATTCGTACAGTACTTTATTACCAAGCAATAATAGATAAGGATTTGTACGGTGGTCTTTTAGTTAATGCTCTGAAACCGCTTTATTAATTAAAGAAAAATAGTTTGTAAATTTTTACATAAATTATTTTTTTAAGGTTTATCCAACAAAAATGTCATCTCATTTAATGTACTACTAGCAAATTTATTTTTCAAAAAATTTGTCATTAATATAGTTAGTAAATAATTTTAAAAAACTGGATAAATTTAAATGAAAGAGAAACCATAGCTTATAATGTTAAAGTAATTTACTTAAAAAAATAATTTGGTCAAAGGCTCGTGGACTACTTTGGTCTTAGTTTTTTTAATTCTATGCCTGTTATTATAAAAAAAAAAAAAAACATCTGTAAATATTCGAATGCTAAAATGTCAGTTATTAAATGGTTATTTGTATTCCTAAATTTACTGTTTATTTTATTTTAAAAAAACTTCCACCATTGATAAATATTACTAATAAAAGAGAAACTATTGCCTAAGATATTAAAATAAATTATCGAAAAAAAAGTATAGGTCAGCAATGTATAGACTATCTAGAACCTAAAGCGTTTAATTTACTGAATCTTAATGACAAAAAATATCTGAAAATAAATTCTACAAAAAATATAAACAAATATCTTAATGAAATATTATGTGAAAAATGAGTTATGCATTTTTATAATGTATATTTATATTCTATACATGTATTTTTTTATTTTTTTCTTTAGTATTCTTGTATACTTTATATAGCGACTATCTTACCTTATGTTTCATTTATGTGATCATGTATCTTTTTTTTTATATATTATTTACTCCCAAAAATGTTTTATGTATTTATAAGTTTCTCATATAATTATTGTTTAATCTCTGTTCTAGGAAATATGTTATATTACTAAATCTAAACTTATCTACTTATATATGTTATTAATTATTAAAACTTTCAACCTCCAACACAAGCTTTTGCTTACAAGAGGTTGATAAATCATATTTTTTTTATTACTGTTAAATTGTTAAATTGTAGTTAAAAAAAAAAATCTCTAGATTAATTAATGACTAGTGTGGATCTATTGACGAGCAATTCAGTTCCAATTTTATTTTATTTGTTCTTATATCTAAATATAATCATATGTTAATTGTCGATATAATATAAAATAATTTATTCTCTACTATTAACACAAGCAATGCTTACAGAAGGTAGATAATTTTAATCAATTTACGTATTCAATTATTTTGTATAATTAAGATGAAAAAAAAAACAAATTTTAAACACACATGTATACATTAGTACCACCGTATTCATTACTCAGTAAGTATTCAATAAGTATAATTGTATAAATATTAAAATGATTAATTTAAAAACAATTTAAATTTTAAATTTTGTTTCAATAAGTAGTTTTAGGTATTTAATAATTTATACTTTTTTGTTTTCTATTCTTAGAAAATTGTAGTTAATGTCCAATATTATAACATTTCTCAAAAAATAAAAAATAAATAAATAAATACTCCATAGGTCCAATAAAAATACAAAATGTATAAAAGAAATATTATATAAAAACTGTATAAGTAACTAATGTATTACCTATAATAATTCTAATAATATACATTATTTTTAAAGACGCGTTACAATCAACATTTCTCGAAAGTTTCATTCTAAGTATTTCATTTCTTCTTGGTAATGATTTTTAAACATAATTTTTAGTTATTTATAATAAAGTACTGTCTTATCACAATATTTACTCATTAGTTTAAAAACTATGATAATAATAATAAACACAACATCAACATAATATTATTATATTATGATCATTTGTGTGATATCAATTTATCGTTAAGTACCTACTATTAAAACTTATTTTTGGTACAAACTGTCGATATAATAATATTGTTTGTATAAATAATTGACAAATTTAATATTAAATATTGTAACGTTGAAATAAAAATAACTTGATAGATAATAATTATAATAATATACATAGTTCCATAGGTAGGTGCAAAAAAATTTATTTTGAAATACACTGTAAAAGTGTACATTGTACGAATACTACGATGAACCAATGGTTTTTCTATCCGTATACCAATATGGCAATATGCCTCATTATATTATTAAAGTATCGCCTAGTTTCGTTAATAGAGTATTATAATAGTTATACTTAGACAAGTAGCGCAGGGTCGACACTCACCTTTTTTGAATTTGATGAATGTATTTACGGTATAGGTGAGATTTTTGAACGTCAAATCGACTTCAGCTTTTTTCGGAAACAATTGCATTCTTTTGCCAGTCACGTTGTTGTTGGATGCGTCATCGGTCCTATATTTAACGTCGTCCGCCATCATTTCTTCGTACGAAATACGCTTTTACTGGATATTTCGATACAAGCTATAAATGCGAGCTTATCGCGGGGGCTTAAAAAACAGGCAGTCAAATGGAGGTGTGTGTATACGTATAGTGCTTTTATAAAAAATTTCCAAAATACGACGGCTGAGGTGTACCTCTATCACGACGTCACGTTCGGACGTGGTAAGGATACATTTCGATACTGCGTTCGTCGTCTATAATATAAAAACCGGGTGATTCGCCCGGCGAATTGTCGCACACCAAACGAGTCGAGAACAAAACAAAAATAATTATCGATCACGAAAAACTTATTTTATTTCCGTTCGTGCGAAAACTCGTTTTCCGCGTGTACGATTTAATACGCAGTAGAATGATTTCGATCGTTTCCCTTCAACGACCACGCGAAAGCTACAATTTGAAAAATTATAATTTTGAGAGGGAAAAATACGTAAATCATCCAACGGTAGGCGACCGGCGGCTGTCACTACTGGTGAACAGTAGTATACTAATGCAATACTGTCCAATGTGTTCGGCGTGAGCCCGATGTACTATTATTACTATTATTATTATTATTATTATTATCATCATTACTCTGTGCCCTCCGCCGCCGCCCACCACTCCCCTTTTTAGGACCGACGCCGATAACGTGTGTGTCGCATGCGGTAAATGCCGAGTGCTGCCGCTGCTCCTAACTATAGGGCTACGGCCGGCGCGCATGCGCACCCTTCCGTAACGGGGTGCGCAGGGACCGTATCGGGCGCGTGTGCGTTATACAGACTGATCTCCGCAACGCTCGAATTGTTCATGATAATAACACATTATTATTATACAGTGTGCGAGCGATTTCGTTTAAATCGCGGAAGAAACGTCATTGAGTCCGTGGAGCGGTTGCTGCAGTAATATAGCAATTGCAAAAATGATCTAGTGGCTTAACCGCAAACGTATACAATATGAGATTACTTTCTCTCTCCGCCATCCGCCGTGTACACAACAGTTAATGATAAAATGGTTAGATATTTTTATCACAAAAAAAAAAAAAATCGTTTTTTAATTATTCTGACATAATGTAATTGTAATTATAGTGGCATCTGTTCAATTTTTCACCAGCTAGGTAACCTGGCTGCTCAAACCACGTCTGTATTCTGTCTACGAGACTGCGGGTTTGTTATCTCTACGTAGGTACTGCTGCGCAAGTCTTAACACTCGTATGATTTTGTTGTTGTTGTTGTTGTAGGTTTGGATGCACTCTATCGAATTTTGGTGGTTGATCTAATATTTAACAATTAACAGCGTACAACAAAATAACTAATGAATACGTACGTATTTACGGTATTATATTGACGATATGTCGGTATAAGAATTAAAATATTATATCACGTGTGATTGAAAACATTTTCAACAAATCACATGGTTTATTGGTATACATAATATGTATTTTACATCGTTGAAATCCAATATCATAAAATTTAAAAAATATTTGATCAATCTGAAGTATAACTATTACAGACAATTTTAATATTATCATGATTTATAAATCTTTATGACTTTTTCTTTTTTTTTTTTTTTATGACCTTTTTATACGTATATCATTGCCATAAGTCAACAGATCATTATAGAAAATAGAGTAATTATATAGAGTGAATATTATATTATTAAATTAGGTATATAACTATGTAAGTGATAACTGATAATAATATATCATAGTAAAATATTATAAATTTTAATTTAAAATTCACCAAAAGTCAATATGGTTACTAATATTACAGACTATAGAAAATATAAACTATATACAGGTGACTTTATTAGATATATTATAATATTTAAATCTTATATAAAATTTAACTACCGTACATAAACAACATGTTTTGTTGACTTCAGGTAAAATTTAAAATTAATCGATGATAATTATGATTTGATAACTAAACGTTCATATAAATCTTGTAATAATGTTATATCATATAAATTTATTGCTGTTTAAAACTTATATGTACAAAAATGTTTCGAAATTAAAAAACTAAATTCTCTTGATTTATTGTGTTAAAAATAAATAAATAAATTTTTTTAATATATTGATAAAATAAATTAAGCTGAATAAAAGATTCAATAAATATATATATAAAACTTAAAGTGAATTATGATCATAATAAAATGATATAACCTACCTACACATAGGTAATTATATTTATATAGTGTCATGATAATCGCAATGGTTGTTTTTAATTAAATATTTTCACTAATAAAATTAAATGTTTCAATATTAAAAATATGTTAACGGTTTGTTTTCATTTTAACTTAGTTAAATAACAGTTAATTTTAAATTATAAATTTTTTTAGCCCATTGACAAGTATTCATAATTATTCCATCAATATGAATTTACAAATCAAATAGTTAAATAATTTAATAAATACACATATTACCTACATAAAAATTAAAAACTATGAGTATTGACGATAAAGGTGGTCTATTATAATTTTGATTACTGAGTGATAAAAAAATAAAATAAAATATTTTTTATTGTGTTATATTGTTAATACTATACGTACCTTTTTATTTATTAGCTCTATGTTATTAGTAAGTACTAAGCAGTAAGCACAATATTCAATTATAAACAATGTTTTATTTTTATAATTAAATGAAAACTTAAGGGTGCATATTACTGTTATAGTACTAGTACTACTGGTTAGTAGTCGGTAAAGGGGAATACACCATAGAAAGACGTGTTGATTCTCGATAAACTAATATAAATTAAATATTAATTAAAGAATAAATGTTATTCCATAATAACCATTAATAACATTACCGCATACAATAGTATTAATTAACTAAAATCCTATATTAAAAATTTTAGATTAGGATTTTTAAAACCAAAACTGAAACATCGGCTATTTATTGTTTTATAAACTTTACGAACTGTACTTATAGCCGGATTGAAGCTTCTATAACAGCCTCGATATTTACATACTTTTAATTCCATAAACTTAAACAACAGGAGTAGACTAGCTTAGTCCAAATGCCAAATGTGTCAGTGCACTATAATAAGCCGAGGTATCTCAATATGTGTGCACATATTTCATGATAATATTAGTAAATTTATTACAATTATAACTAAACAGCAACGGTTAACAACCTGGGGTACGTGAAAAAAATTGACTAATGGTAGATAATGTTGAATTTGTTTATTTTAAACGATTCGTTTTGAAAACATTCAATATATGTTATTAAAAATGAAAATGTGTATCACAAATTAAAACTTAACCATCAACGTATCTAATAGATATGGAGTATAAAATGTAACATAGAATGTTTTGTTATATTTTATTTAAATATTTTAAAAGTAGTTATGTGAAAAAGTTTAAAAATTATAATGTGGGGTACAATCTAACAAATTATTAAACTAAGAGGTACGGAACGAAAAAAAGGTTGGGAACCGCTACTAAACAATTTTAAACCACGACTATTAACCAATATAGAAATAATTAATACAATAAGTTTATAATCGAATCAAACAGTTATAAAACGTTTAACATATATCATAGTGTGCTGACCATTATACATTGTATTTCACTAACTAAAAAAAAATAGGATGTCAAAACTAGTGATTGATCGTGGAAAAGTGGTAAGATTTTTATCCATAAAAATGAAAAAACATTTTAGTCCTAGCTAGTGTAAAATAAAATATAACAACACTATACACTAAGTAAATAGCATCTGAATATTTTGTTGGTGTATCTTGTGTTAAAAATGTCCAATATCTAACAGTCAATCATCAACAAACCATTTTATTTGATTCAATTATTATTATTATTATTATTATTATTAATAATATAGTTAATTTTTTAACAAACTAATCTTTTGTTACGTAATTAGCTTTCTTTTAACTTTAAGACAATAATTCTTTAGTTTCTACTTTTACATAGCCAAATTTACTAATTTAATTGTTAGCCTATCCCATAATATAAAATTTTTCTCTATCGCAACCATTGATTTAGAGGTGATCTATCTTATTGTCATTTTTTATGTATAAATTATATCACAATTGTAAATTGTAATTGATGAAATAATAAATATCTTATTATTATTATTATTTTCTCACTATCTTCAAAATCTAAAAACTATTAAAAAAAGGTTTCTCCAGTACTTTATAAAAGGTACTCATTTGGGATTAGATGTATGATTTAATCACTGGTATAATCATTAATCGCAATAAGGTATTTAGAATATTTTATGAGGCTTTATAAGACGTAAAAATATTATATATATATATATTAGAAATACAACCCAAAAAAATAGGTTTAAAAAAAATATCTTTATTAAATTAATATTAACTATTTGAAGACTAAGATAAAACTGGTTTAAGCCATTTATTGTTGTGAAATACTGTATCGTTTAATATCATGCAGTATTGTTTAAAACATCGGGTACCCGATTTAAAAAATTGTTATTTATCGTATATTTACTCTGTACTCTATCTACACAATAAAAGTAAACGTAAATACGTAAAGTACGATTTACTGTTAGAAATGCAATAAAAAACTAAAATAAAACTAAATAATTTGTATTTTAACTATTATTACGTATAGAATTCTTAGCCAATACCTATTTTATACACTGTAATCATTATAAAAAAATTGTGCACCGGTGCAGTCATAAGCGTATACCTACCATCAACTACTGTCTCCTGTAGTCCAGTTTTACTTAACTATTAATTTGTACACGATCTAATTTTCGAAACTTTTGTTTAACATATAGATTTTAAATTAATAAATAATTGAATCAATGGGAAAAAAAATATAATACTATAGGTATCACAAATCACAATACACCACTGTCTCCATCACTATCCTTTTCCGAAGAATATGTAATTATAAACCAACACCAACACTCGTTCTATTATTCACAATAAAAAATAAAATAGATTTTTTTTTAGATTTAATATTTTGTTCAATGTTAATATCAATATTATAATTTATAGTATATTAGGTACTCATAAATATATGATTATTTATTTTATGTTATGAATTGTCTACACGTGTAATTCTGTCCTTAGAATAATTGTATTAGAAAAATATATAAGCATATGCTAGGAAAAAAATCACATATTTTATCAAGAATATTTATGAAGAAAAAATTGTATATTCTATTTTACAACCTTCTTGTATTTTATTATATATCTATGTATTGTATTCTTCCTAAAATTATAGGTGTCAAAATTGCAAGATAAATCGTTTTGATGATCTAAATGTTGTTTATTTCTACAATAGTAAGAACAAAACAATAATGGATGACATAATATTTATACTTAAATATATTTACATATTATATATTTTTAAGTATTTTATTCTGTGAAGTTCTTTTAATAACTGTGAAACAAATATTAATTTCATGTATAGTACATTAACAGCTATAATATTTAGTATTTAAATATTAGTGATTATACTGTGATTAGTAAAATGATTTGCTGAATTCTGATCAAGTTGTTCTTTTACGTCTTATTATTATCTACAAATAACTATA